CGCCGCACCCTCCGCGCCGCCAGCCCCGCTCCGCGCGCACTCGGTACCTGAGAATTTCACTTCAGCACTGCGGATCCTCTGAGTCTGGATATAATATTCTCTTTACTCCTAGTTGTAGAATTTCCACTCAGCCAGCCCTCCTGTGGCTCTGGATGTTGTCCTTTCCCTGGTTCAAGCTTAATTTGAATTGGTTGTTCAAGGCAGCAATCTCTGGTGTTAACCTATGCCGCCATCTTTGGTTCTCTCAACATCTATTCTTTTTATGTTTATTTTTTATTTTCTGTGTCTATTCATGTTACTTTATTTGTTTTAAATATATATATTTTTTATTGACTTCAGAGAGGGAAAGGGAGAGATAGAAACATCAATGATGAGAGAGAACCATTGACCAGCTGCCTCCTACAAGCCCCCCAGTGGGGATTGAGCCCGCAATCCAGGCATGTGCCTTGACTGGGAATCGAACCGTGACCTCCTGGGTTCATAGGTCGATGCTCAACCCACTGACCCATGCCGGCCGGCTCCATATTTTTCTTTTCTTTTTAAAAAAAAAATCTTTGTTAGCAAATATTTAATTAGCTGTTTAATATACAATCTTACAGCAGATTTTTACCTAATACAAAGGAAAAGGCTTATGGCAATTATTCTGAAATAATCCTAAAAAAACTAGACATTTGCTTGTCCTCTTTAATTTTTCTTTTTTTCTAATCAGCTCTTCCAGGTGGTTTTATTAATTATATGCACTCAATTAGGCCTGAATAAAATAGAAATACAATTTAGTCAAATGCAAGTATATTTCTTCTTCCCTACTCCCCTTCCTCCTCCTCCCTCCCCCTCCTCCTCCGGTCCGTGGCCTTCCTCTGAAGCCGTCCCCATTCCACCAAGCTGAAGAGGTTGCTGCTTCAGGTCAAAGTTCTTTTTTCTTTTTTAAGTAATTTTTTAGAATATGTTTTATTGATTTTTTACAGAGAGGAAGGGAGAGATATAGAGATTTAGAAACATCAATGAGAGAGAAACATTGATCAGCTGCCTCTTGCACACTCCCCACTGGGGATGTGCCCGCAACCAAGGTACATGCCCTTGACCTGAATCGAACCTGGGACTCTTCAGTCCACGGGCTGATGCTCTATCCACTGAGCAAACCAGTCAGGGCTTTTTAAGTAATTTTTATCAGAACTTTTTAATCATTGGCCACCAGATGGCAGTGTTTCCCTAGAAAGAGATGCCCAGCTGGGATCATCTGCCAATGTTCCAGACGCTTCCGAAGGTGCAGCTCAAACCCTGGATGTTAGATACAATGCAGGGGAGACTCCAGGCCGTGGCTCAGCTCTGTGGCCTCGAGCACGTTCGCTTACCTCAGTCTACAGACTTCATGAGGCTGTTACAGCAGATTCGTTTTAAAAATGGACATAATGAGTACTTTATAAATGTTGTGCTTAAGTGATAATAAGGTGAAAGAGAACAACACAGCCCTGACCAGTTTGGCTCAGTGGCTAGAGCGTCAGCCTGCAGACTGAAGGGTCCCAGGTTAGATTCCAGTCAAGGGCATGTACCTTGGTTGTGGGCACATCCCTGGTGGGGGGTGTGCAAGGGGCAGCTGATCGATGTTTCTCTCTCATCGATGTTTCTAACTCTCTATCCCTCTCTATTCCTCTCTGTAAAAAATCAATAGAATATATTTTTTAAAAAATTTGTGCACTGGCAGAGGTGGGGGTCCCTCAGCCCAACCTGTGCCCTCTCACAGTCTGGGATCCCTCGGGAGATAACAACCTGCTGGCTTAAGCCCGCTCCCCTGGTCACACATGGCAAGCCCGGATCCCATGCTAGGGCGGGTGGTGGCTGGGGATCGTGCTGCCACCCGCCCCCCACCCCCTGCCCCAGGCCGCACACGGCAGGCCCGGATCCCACACTGGGGCGGGTGGCGGCTTGGGATCTCGCTGCCGCCAGCCCTGGGCAGGGTGGCACAGTGGGATCTGCCTGCAGTATGCAAATTTAATGGCCATCATTGTTGGGTTAATTTGCATACCCTTCTGATTGGCTGATGGGCATAGCAAAGGTACGGTCAATTAGCATCTTTGTCTTTTATTAGTGTAGATATTTAAAGTTCAAGGTCCCCACGTCCTGGAAGCAGCAGGGAGGAGGGAAGAAAGAACACAGAAAACCAGAAGCCGAACTCCCTGTCAGGGTCATCTGCTGCCTGACCTTGACCTTCAGCTGTTAGGCTGTGGAGGCCCCAGAGCACTGGGACTGTCAGCCAACCCAGCAGCTGCCCATCCCTCCAGAGCACCGAGGTCTCACTGGCCATTCAAGGGTCTGAGGTGAGTGGAACTTGGAGGGGGGGGGATGAGGAAGCCCATAGACAGGTGTGGACTAGAGGCGAGACCCAGAGTGGTACCTGGGGCTGGACCATGGAGTAGACAGTGTTCTCTTTCCCAGCAGAGTCCTGCTGCCGCCTCCGCCCCTGCAGGAGAAACAGGGAGGGCAGGTGGCAGCATCAGTAGGCACTCAGTCTTGCAGGGTTGGGTCATGTGGGGAGAATGGTGGGAAGGAGAGGAGCTCCCAGGAGCCTGGGAGGCAGCACCGCAGTCCCGGGACGAGAGGCACGGGGAGCAGCCACCAGGCAGTGGCTGGGAGAGGCTCCCCGTGAGAGGCCGCACAGAGAGACCCTGCCACTGGGCGCCTGCCATGCGCAGAAACGTCCCTTCGCTGACTGACTGCACAGACAGTGCGCTGAGTGAGGTCTGAGCCCCACTGTGGCCGCTGATTCCAAGACTAGAGGGTTTCAAGCCCCAGCCCAGATCCAGCCTTATTGTCTGCGGGCCCTTGGCTCCAGCCAGCCCCCTGCGGCTGCGCTGTTGGGTGACCCGGACTCACGGCCAGAGGCGCATCTCCCTCAGTCCTGCCCCCACGTGGGGTCCGAGGTCATTCATGCCCTTCCCCTGAGGTCTGCTGCCAGGAAGGGCTCTGGGGGGGTGAGGGGGGCGGGTTCTGCATTCAGGGGAGGAGCCGAGAGGAGCAGGAAACAGCTGTCCTTGTGTTGGGGACCAGCTATGATTGTAAGAAATATTCATCCTGCTCCCTTAACCGGGACTGTTTCGTTCTGATTACAGACACACAGCCCAGCTCTGTCTGGGCTGAGGCAGCCATCTTGCTCTTGCCGCGTGCTGGTGTTGGAGGACTCTCCCTGCTTCAGATTTACAACAGCATGAATCAAGAAAAGTTAGCCAAACTTCAGGCTCAGGTCCAGATAGAGGGCAAGGGTACAGCTCGCAGAAAGAAGAAGGTGGTACATAGAACAGCTACAGCTGATGACAAAAACTTCAGAGTTCTCTAAAATAACTGGCTGTCAATAATATAGCTGGTATTGAAGAGGGAAATATGATTAAAGATGATGGAACAGTTATTCATTTCAACAATCCCAAAGTCCAAGCTTCCCTTTCTGCTAACACCTTTGCAAGTACCGGTCGTGCAGAAGCCAAACCAATCACAGAAATGCTTCCTGGAATATTGAGTCAGCTTGGTGCTGACAGCTTCACAAGCCTCAGGAAGCTAGCTGAACAGTTCCCTCGGCAAGTGTTGGATAGCAAAGCACCAAAACCAGAAGACATTGATGAGGAAGATGATGATGTTCCAGATCTTGTAGAAAATTTTGATGAGGCATCAAAGAATGAAGCTAACTAAAATCTTTTCTGGTTTTTGGAAGTTGGCATGGACTAGATTTAACAAATCAGCTATGTGGTTCCAAAGTTTTACAGACACGGAGAACATCAACTGTTACTAGTTCAGTAATATAATATTTTGTATATTAATAATGCTGTTTGTTCAGCATTTTCGGTCATTTGATTTTGCATTTTGCACTTCCTCCCAGGATCTATTCTTTTGGTCAAAATCCAAAGTATTGGTGCAGTTTGAGGGTGTTTTAATTTTTAATTCTTGTTTTCTTGTCGTTTTTTTTGTTTGGGGTATTTTTGGTGTGTTTGTATTTTTTAGTA